TTTTTTTTTTTCTGATTTTTTTTTAAAAAAACCAAAGTAAACGTTTGAAGTGTTCTTTTGACTATGTAACAAACTATTAAGGCCAGCGTTGTTGAGTTAAACCGGGTGGTACCGCTAGTGAATAAAGTTCAGGGCAGGGTACTGGCCGGGGCTGGTAGTGGTGATATTACATTACAGTAGAGAGACCAGATGGGGATGGTGTTCAGTTTCTCATTTTATTTACAATGTGTTCATTACAGGAGAACACCAGCTACCTGGTAGAGATGGTGTTCAGTTCTCTACGCTGTGAAAGTCCACAGGAGACCACACGCATCCTCAAACCATATCACCGTGGTAACGTCAACCTTAACTATCATCGCTGTAACTCGTCAACTCTGGACCTTTTGTCAACTCCCTAACTCTTGTCAACTCTTAACTGTCAACTCCCTAACTTTAGCTCTGATTCTCAATAGTATGCTGGTAGAAATGTTCTAAATTTTATTCCTCGCTCTCTCACCTACAGATGGATCTAAATGGGAAGTCCTTCTCCAGATCATACAAAAGGCGTGTGCGGACCCTGCATCTCTGCAGGTGTGGTGGTGATTGGTTTAAGGGCTCGGTGGCTTGGTGAGCGGACTGCTGGGGTTGGCTGAGGAGCTGTGTGAGGCGGGACTAAAAGGCCTCCGGCTCCACCCCTAATAGGGGACAGCTGGGCTTTGATCAGCCTAGCGCTGTCTCAGCATCACAATAATGGTGAGAGAACACACACACACACCTTGATCAGCCTAGCACTGTCTCAGCATCACAATAATGGTGAGAGAACACACACACACCTTGATTAGCCTAGCGCTGTCTCAGCATCACAATAATGGTGAACACACACACACACCTTGATTAGCCTAGCACTGTCTCAGCATCACAATAATGGTGAACACACACACACACCTTGATCAGCCTAGCGCTGTCTCAGCATCACAATAATGGTGAACACACACTAGAGATGTGCACGTTTATTCGAATATCCAAATGGACATTAGTATTCGAATACTGAGTATTTTGTGTAAGTATTTATTTCTGCGAGGGGGGGAAAATTTTTTTTTATAGGCCTATTTTAACACTGAAAAGGCTTTGTCTAAAATGTAGCTGCGAGCAGCAATGAACGGGGTTCAGGCGATGACTGAAAGGACAAGATCAGTTGGATGACAAAGCAAGCACTCTTCATGTAGGAACCATCTTCCTGTATGTGCAAGTCCAGTGAAAACATGACCATGTTTATCTTTCAATATCACAAAGATAACGCAAGTGAAGCTTGGTCTAGTTTTGTTTCGTTCCACTGTTCCGACCAGCAAAATAAAGTTCTGAACCGGTTCAAACCCCCCCCCCAAATACCGGTTTATATAGTTCCTTTCTGTTCCTTTTTTAACCTGTGAAATCAACTGTTAAAAAAAAAAAAAAAAACATTAGCTCATTCATTACTTAACCAATCAGCGCGGATAGAGCAGGCAAGGTAGTTGTTTACATGCGTGATGGACAGACAAGTGTAGCCCATGGCGCGAGATGCGACCAACACAACGAGAGAGTGTTGAGGAGGAGGCTTGAAGCGATGGGCGTTATGACATGCATTATATGAATTAGGTCCACAGATTTTACACCTAGGAGGAGTTGGCTTTTATGGAGGACTTTTTGTATGTCCTTTGAGCTAGCTAACAACCTTGAGCTAGCTAGCTAACGAGTTGTGTGTGCAGAGCGGCACCAGAGTTAAAACACTCTTAGCTTTTTGTAGTTAATAAATCCAACGTGAAACGATGATAACCAGGCCTATAGTACCCTTTAAAACTACCATTTGAAAAAGTGACCCCATTCTTCTCTAGCAATAAAAACAACTCTCTCCCTATATTCTGAATCAAGCGTCGATGTAATGGTCAGTAGCCTATGCTTCGGAGGGGGAGGGGCAGGTCGTCTAAACATGCACTGGCAACGATTTTCAGCTTGCAGGCAGACACCGGAATACGTTTCTGAGTGACGGAGTGAGGGCTTTGTATAGGCGCGTTGTGAGACATCGTAGCGGTGTATCGTAGCAGACTTTTGAATGCAGCAACGGATCATTCTTAAATGAATTATAGGCTAATTCATTGAGTCTATATACCAAATCTGGACTCAATCTGATTTATGGTTCATGAATAGTATAAGAATATTCATAAAGTATTTTTTAGCATTAGCAAATATGCTAACGAGCATCTATATGTATAGTGCGGCCATATTTGAATGCAGCAACAATTTTTTTATCTCGAAACAATTAAAGACTGATGTAAAAATACAAAATCTGGAGTGAATCTGACGTATGGTTCATGAGGAGAAGATGATTTCAGATGATTTTGAGCATTAGCGTTACATTGTTTAATAGTTTGCTTGTTTTTTTGATATAGCAACATATACCAAATTCAGTGTGGTTCATCTTAGGGACGTCCATGATAGCGATTTAAGTGCCTTGCTCAAGGGCACATCGACAGATTTTTCACCTAGTCGGCTCGGGGATTAGAACCAGCGACCTTTCGGTTACTGGCACAACGCTCTTAACCACTAAGCTACCTGCCGCCCTGATCATAGCAATGAATGAATTAATGACAGATCTCTCGCATGTCATCATCACAAACCTGACGTTTTTTTAACGGGACGGTGTACAATTTTCAATGGAATGCATCTCAATATGAAAATAGTGCTTTTACACAATGTAGAAACCTAATACTCCACATATGACTTTGTAATTTCAACGACAGGAATTCATATCAACATCTGATCTTTTATAATAAACTAATGTCTTAGTGTTACATATCAGTTTCTAGGTGCACAACATGTGCTTCAAAAGTAGCTAGAATTCACATAGGCCCAATATAGCTGTATCTCAATCAATAAAAATCTATCGTATTTTCTGCTGCTCCTAAATTTCATGTGGCGCTCCTAACTTTTTAATGTTAGGAGCACCAGTGCTACCAATGAAAAATGATAATTTATAGCCCTGTATATGTATATATATATTTTTTTTTTTACATTGTATTGCCTTAGGCGGCCCGGAAAAACATTTGGGTGGCTCCTTGAATTTCCTATGCTGGGAAAAAATCCCCACTCTCTATTTCTCCCCAGAGCCCCTGATAGGAGCTGTGTTCGTGGAGAAGATGATCGCCAAACTCCATGCCACGCTGTCAGCGGCTAAAGGTCTGTATGTTGGGCCCGGGAGCAAGGCACTTATCTCATCCCCAATACATTCTCTTCATCCACATTCTCTGTGGTCCTCTGTAGCTCAGCTGGTAGAGCACGGCGCTTGTAACGCCAAGGTAGTGGGTTTGATCCCCGGGACCACCAATACACAAAAAAATGTATGCACGCATGACTGTAAGTCGCTTTGGATAAAAGCGTCTGCTAAATGGCATATTATTTTATTATTTATTTATCCAGGAGTGCTGCGGCTGTGGTTTCACCCTGTGCTCCTCTCAACTGTGTATGTGTACGTTAGGGGTGTAACGGTTCATCAAACCCACGGTTCGGTTGGGTTGGGTTCTGTACAGTTCAGTAGAATTAAATGCCATGCACAACGTTCAGCGTTCTCATTGTTTCTGGCATGGTCTGTTTGACCGGATTGTTTTGTTATGTTATGTTCAAGTTTCCGCTCTGACGCTGTGTTTGCAACCATGTGGGAGGTGGGAATTTACCAGTTGTGAAGTCTTAAATACCAGTTGGATGCATTCACGTGATTTTTGAACTCGTTGAGAAAAGCCAGTTGGCTAATGGTCAACAAGCTGCGTCAACCATAAACTAAAAGTGAAGTTATCACGCCTGTAAACAAATGATAGAATTCAAAAACTACATTTAATAGATTGCATTTTATAAATAAAGTTTTGTTGTTGGATTGAACTGCCGTAAATGCTGGCGTAGAGGTCATTTCCTTAGTAGGTGACGTCAGAGGTCACCATGTGGAAGAAGTGGGTGCTCAGGATGATAGTCAGTTTCCCACTAGTAATTACCGGTTGGAGGGCCGTTCAAGTGAATTCTTCCCAGTCGTATGTGGTAACGTCCCACTGCTTGATTCAGTGCCTCTCAAGGGTCCGTGTCTGTAGCGCTCCGGGGTAATGTGATGGGCTTTTAAGCGCAACACAGGGTGCATTGGGAAACAAGCGGGATACTACATGGCCAAAAGTATGTGGACAACCCCTTCAAATTAGTGTATTCGGCTATTTCAGCCACACATGTTGCTGACAGGTGCATAAAATTGAGCACACAGCTATGTTATAGGATGCCACCTTTCCAACAAGTCAGTTTGTCAAATGTCTGCCCTGCTAGAGCTGCCCCAGTCAACTGTAAGTGCTGTTATTGTGAAGTGGAAACGTCTAGGAGCAACAACGGCTCAGCCGCGAAGTGGTAGGCCACACAAGCTCACAGAACGGGACCGCTGAGTTCTGAAGTGCGTAAAAAGTGCGTCTGTCCTCGGTTGCAACACTCACTACCGAGTTCCAAACTGCCTCTGGAAGCAACGTCAGCACAATAACCTTTCATCGGGAGCTTCATGAAATGGGTTTCCATGGCCGAGCAGCTGCACACAAGCCTAAGATCACCATGCGCAATGCCAAGCGTCGGCTGGAGTGGTGTAAAGCTCTCCGCCATTGGACTCTGGACCAGTGGAAACGCGTTCCTGGATTGATGAATCACGCTTCACCATCTGGCAGTCCAACGGACGAATCTGGGTTTGGCGGATGCCAAGAGAACGCTACCTGTCCAAATGCATAGTGCCAACTGTAAAGTTTGGTGGAGGAGGATTAATGGTATGGTGCTGTTTTTCATGGTTTGGGCTAGGCCCCTTAGTTCCAGTGAAGGGAAATCTTAACGCTAAAGCATACAATGACATTCTAGACGATACTGTGCTTCCAACTTTGTGGCAACAGTTTGGGGAAGGCCCTTTCCTGTTTCAGCATTACAATGCCCCTGTGCACAAAGCGAGGTCCATACAGAAATGGTATGTCTAGATCGGTGTGGAAGAACTTGACTGGCCTCCACAGAGCCCTGACCTCAACCCCATCGAACACCTTTGGGATGAATTGGAACGCCGACTGCGAGCCAGGCCTAATCGCCCAACATCAGTGCCCGACCTCACTAATGCTCGTGGCTGAATGGAAGCAAGTCCCCACAGCAATGTTCCAACATCTAGTGGAAAGCCTTCCCAGAAGAGTGGAGGCTGTTATAGCAGCAAAGGGGGGGACCAACTCCATATTAATGCCCATGATTGCGGAATGAGATGTTCGACGAGCACGTTTCCACATACTTTTGGTCATGTAGTGTATTTCTGTTGTTTGTAGTAATATTGTATATCAACATTATTGTAGTAATATTGTATATCAACATTATTGTAGTAATATTGTATATCAACATTATTGTAGTAATATTGTATATCAACATTATTGTAGTAATATTGTATATCAACATTATTGTAGTAATATTCTATATCAACATTATTGTAGTAATATTGTATATCAACATTATTGTAGTAATATTGTATTGTATTGTATTGCAGATCTGTCTGAGAGGGGTAATCTGGAGCCGCTGGTGTGTTTCATCTGTGATGTGGCCTCCACCTTCTTCACCTCCGTAACACACTGCCTCCTACTGGCCTCCGCGGAGGAGTTGCTGCTCACGGTCTTCACACTCACCGCACAGGACCAGACACTCACACACCTGTCAGGTAAGACTCACACCCCTGTCAGGTAAGGCTCACACCCCTGTCAGGTAAGACTCACACCCCTGTCAGGTAAGACTCACACCCCTGTCAGGTAAGACTCACACCCCTGTCAGGTAAGGCTCTCACCCCTGTCAGGTAAGGCTCACACCCCTGTCAGGTAAGACTCACACCCCTGTCAGGTAAGACTCACACCCCTGTCAGGTAAGGCTCACACACCTGTCAGGTAAGACTCACACCCCTGTCAGGTAAGACTCACACCCCTGTCAGGTAAGACTCACACCCCTGTCAGGTAAGACTCACACCCCTGTCAGGTAAGACTCACACACACACACACACACACACACACACACACACACACACACAGAGGACCAGACACAGTGTTTTCTATTAGCGTCGGCTGTCGGGCTAATCAGCCGGTTACCTTACTAATTATCAGCCAGCTACATTTTCCACTTCATAAATGAACTAGGCTTCTTTTCATTTATACGTTTCAATTCGCTAGTCAGAAAAGTCTGTATAGCCCTTCTCCCGCAAGAATGAACGATACGCCTCTTCTAGTGATAGGACAGCTGCCAGCGAACGATACGCCTCTTCTAGCGATAGGACAGCTGCCAGCAAACGCTACGCCTCTTCTAGCGATAGGACAGCTGCCAGCGAACGATACGCCTCTTCTAGTGATAGGACAGCTGCCAGCGAACGATACGCCTCTTCTAGTGATAGGACAGCTGCCAGCGAACGATACGCCTCTTCTAGTGATAGGACAGCTGCCAGCGAACGATACGCCTCTTCTAGTGATAGGACAGCTGCCAGCGAACGATACGCCTCTTCTAGTGATAGGACAGCTGCCAGCGAACGATACGCCTCTTCTAGTGATAGGACAGCTGCCAGCGAACGATACGCCTCTTCTAGTGATAGGACAGCTGCCAGCGAACGATACGCCTCTTCTAGTGATAGGACAGCTGCCAGCGAACGATACGCCTCTTCTAGCGATAGGACAGCTGCCAGCGAAACGCTACGCCTCTTCTAGCGATAGGACAGCTGCCAGCGAACGATACGCCTCTTCTAGCGATAGGACAGCTGCCAGCGAACGATACGCCTCTCTAGTGATAGGACAGCTGCCAGCGAACGATACGCCTCTTCTAGTGATAGGACAGCTGCCAGCGACGATACGCCTCTTCTAGTGATAGGACAGCTGCCAGCGAACGATACAGCTCTTCTAGTGATAGGACAGCTGCCAGCGAACGATACGCCTCTTCTAGTGATAGGACAGCTGCCAGCGAACGATACGCCTCTTCTAGGATAGGACAGCTGCCAGCGAACGATACGCCTCTTCTAGCGATAGGACAGCTGCAGCGAACGATACGCCTCTTCTAGCGATAGGACAGCTGCCAGCGAACGATACGCCTCTTCTAGCGATAGGACAGCTGCCAGCGAACGAACGCCTCTTCTAGTGATAGGACAGCTGCCAGCGAACGATACGCCTCTTCTAGTGATAGGACAGCTGCCAGCGAACGATACGCCTCTTCTAGTGATAGGACAGCTGCCAGCGAACGATACGCCTCTTCTAGTGATAGGACAGTTGCCAGCGAACGATACGCCTCTTCTAGTGATAGGACAGCTGCCAGCGAACGATACGCCTCTTCTAGTGATAGGACAGCTGCCAGCGAACGATACGCCTCTTTCTAGTGATAGGACAGCTGCCAGCGAACGATACGCCTCTTCTAGCGATAGGACAGCTGCCAGCGAACGATACGCCTCTTCTAGCGATAGGACAGCTGCCAACGCCTCTTCTAGTGATAGGACAGCTGCCAGCGAACGATATACCTCTTCTAGCGATAGGACAGCTGCCAGCGAACGATACGCCTCTTCTAGTGATAGGACAGCTGCCAGCGAACGATACGCCTCTTCTAGTGATAGGACAGCTGCCAGCGAACGATACGCCTCTTCTAGTGATAGGACAGCTGCCAGCGAACGATACGCCTCTTCTAGCGATAGGACAGCTGCCAGCGAACGATACGCCTCTTCTAGTGATAGGACAGCTGCCAGCGAACGATACGCCTCTTCTAGTGATAGGACAGCTTGCCAGCGAACGATACGCCTCTTCTAGCGATAGGACAGCTGCCAGCGAACGATACGCCTCTTCTAGCGATAGGACAGCTGCCAGCGAACGATACGCCTCTTCTAGTGATAGGACAGCTGCCAGCGAACGATACGCCTCTTCTAGTGATAGGACAGCTGCCAGCGAACGATACGCCTCTTCTAGCGATAGGACAGCTGCCAGCGAACGATACGCCTCTTCTAGCGATAGGACAGCTGCCAGCGAACGATACGCCTCTTCTAGCGATAGGACAGCTGCCAGCGAACGATACGCCTCTTCTAGTGATAGGACAGCTGCCAGCGAACGATACGCCTCTTCTAGTGATAGGACAGCTGCCAGCGAACGATACGCCCTCTTCTAGCGATAGGACAGCTGCCAGCGAACGCTACGCCTCTTCTAGCGATAGGACAGCTGCCAGCGAACGATACGCCTCTTCTAGTGATAGGACAGCTGCCAGCGAACGATACGCCTCTTCTAGTGATAGGACAGCTGCCAGCGAACGATACGCCTCTTCTAGTGATAGGACAGCTGCCAGCGAACGATACGCCTCTTCTAGTGATAGGACAGCTGCCAGCGAACGATACGCCTCTTCTAGTGATAGGACAGCTGCCAGCGAACGATACGCCTCTTCTAGTGATAGGACAGCTGCCAGCGAACGATACGCCTCTTCTAGTGATAGGACAGCTGCCAGCGAACGATACGCCTCTTCTAGCGATAGGACAGCTGCCAGCGAACGCTACGCCTCTTCTAGCGATAGGACAGCTGCCAGCGAACGATACGCCTCTTCTAGCGATAGGACAGCTGCCAGCGAACGATACGCCTCTTCTAGTGATAGGACAGCTGCCAGCGAACGATACGCCTCTTCTAGTGATAGGACAGCTGCCAGCGAACGATACGCCTCTTCTAGTGATAGGACAGCTGCCAGCGAACGATACGCCTCTTCTAGTGATAGGACAGCTGCCAGCGAACGATACGCCTCTTCTAGTGATAGGACAGCTGCCAGCGAACGATACGCCTCTTCTAGTGATAGGACAGCTGCCAGCGAACGATACGCCTCTTCTAGTGATAGGACAGCTGCCAGCGAACGATACGCCTCTTCTAGCGATAGGACAGCTGCCAGCGAACGATACGCCTCTTCTAGCGATAGGACAGCTGCCAGCGAACGATACGCCTCTTCTAGCGATAGGACAGCTGCCAGCGAACGATACGCCTCTTCTAGCGATAGGACAGCTGCCAGCGAACGATACGGCCTCTTCTAGTGATAGGACAGCTGCCAGCGAACGATACGCCTCTTCTAGTGATAGGACAGCTGCCAGCGAACGATACGCCTCTTCTAGTGATAGGAGGGCCAGCGAACGATACGCCTCTTCTAGTGATAGGACAGTTGCCAGCGAACGATACGCCTCTTCTAGTGATAGGACAGCTGCCAGCGAACGATACGCCTCTTCTAGTGATAGGACAGCTGCCAGCGAACGATACGCCTCTTCTAGTGATAGGACAGCTGCCAGCGAACGATACGCCTCTTCTAGCGATAGGACAGCTGCCAGCGAACGATACGCCTCTTCTAGCGATAGGACAGCTTGCCAACGCCTCTTCTAGTGATAGGACAGCTGCCAGCGAACGATACACCTCTTCTAGCGATAGGACAGCTGCCAGCGAACGATACGCCTCTTCTAGTGATAGGACAGCTGCCAGCGAACGATACGCCTCTTCTAGTGATAGGACAGCTGCCAGCGAACGATACGCCTCTTCTAGTGATAGGACAGCTGCCAGCGAACGATACGCCTCTTCTAGCGATAGGACAGCTGCCAGCGAACGATACGCCTCTTCTAGTGATAGGACAGCTGCCAGCGAACGATACGCCTCTTCTAGTGATAAGACAGCTGCCAGCGAACGATACGCCTCTTCTAGCGATAGGACAGCTGCCAGCGAACGATACGCCTCTTCTAGCGATAGGACAGCTGCCAGCGAACGATACGCCTCTTCTAGTGATAGGACAGCTGCCAGCGAACGATACGCCTCTTCTAGTGATAGGACAGCTGCCAGCGAACGATACGCCTCTTCTAGCGATAGGACAGCTGCCAGCGAACGATACGCCTCTTCTAGCGATAGGACAGCTGCCAGCGAACGATACGCCTCTTCTAGCGATAGGACAGCTGCCAGCGAACGATACGCCTCTTCTAGTGATAGGACAGCTGCCAGCGAACGATACGCCTCTTCTAGTGATAGGACAGCTGCCAGCGAACGATACGCCTCTTCTAGTGATAGGACAGCTGCCAGCGAACGATACGCCTCTTCTAGCGATAGGACAGCTGCCAGCGAACGATACGCCTCTTCTAGCGATAGGACAGCTGCCAGCGAACGATACGCCTCTTCTAGTGATAGGACAGCTGCCAGCGAACGATACGCCTCTTCTAGTGATAGGACAGCTGCCAGCGAACGATACGCCTCTTCTAGTGATAGGACAGCTGCCAGCGAACGATACGCCTCTTCTAGTGATAGGACAGCTGCCAGCGAACGATACGCCTCTTGTAGTGATAGGACAGCTGCCAGCGAACGATACACCTCTTCTAGTGATAGGACAGCTGCCAGCGAACGATACGCCTCTTCTAGTGATAGGACAGCTGCCAGCGAACGATACGCCTCTTCTAGTGATAGGACAGCTGCCAGCGAACGATACGCCTCTTCTAGTGATAGGACAGCTGCCAGCGAACGATACGCCTCTTCTAGCGATAGGACAGCTGCCAGCGAACGATACGCCTCTTCTAGCGATAGGACAGCTGCCAGCGAACGATACGCCTCTTCTAGCGATAGGACAGCTGCCAGCGAACGATACGCCTCTTCTAGTGATAGGACAGCTGCCAGCGAACGATACGCCTCTTCTAGTGATAGGACAGCTGCCAGCGATGACAGGGGACACTCACTCTGCTGTCTGACCCGTCTCCTGGTACAATTTGTGTGACTGTGGTTGGTTGCAGTCGAATTTCACGGAGGAGGGAGCATGCTCATGTACAGTTGAAGTCGGAAGTTTACATACACCTTAGCCAAATACAGGTTTTTCACAATTCCTGACATTTAATCCTAGTAAAAAGACCCTGTCTTAGGACATATAGGATCACCACTTTATTTTAAAAGAATGTGAAATGTCAGAATAATTATTTATTTCATCACATTCCCAAGGGGTCAGAAGTTTACATACTCTCAATTAGTATTTGGTAGCATTGCCTTTAAATTGTTTAACTTGGGTCAAAACGTTTCGGGTAGCCTTCCACAAGCTTCCCACAATAAGTTGGGTGAATTTTGGCCCATTCCTACTGACAGAGCTGGTGTAACTGAGTCAGGTTTGTAGGCCTCCTTGCTCGCACACGCTTTTTCAATTCTGCCCACAAATGTTCTATAGGATTGAGGTCAGGGCTTTGTGATGGCCACTCCAATACCTTGACTTTGTTGTCCTTAAGCCATTTTGCCACAACTTTGGAAGTATGCTTGGGGTCATTGTCCATTTGGAATACCCATTTGCGACCAAGCTTTAACTTCCTGACTGATGTCTTGAGATGTTGCTTCAATATATCCACATAATTTTCCTTCCTCATGATGCTATCTATTTTGTGAAGTGCACCAGTCCCTCCTGCAGCAAAGCACCACCACAGCATGATGCTGCCACCCCCGTGCTTCACGGTTGGGATGGTGTTCTTCGGCTTGCAAGCCACCCCCCTTTTCCTCCAAACATAACGATGGTCATTATGGCCAAACAGTTCTATTTTTGTTTCATCAGACCAGAGGACATTTCTCCAAAAAGTATGATCTTTGTCCCCATGTGCAGTTGCAAACCGTAGTCTGGCTTTTTTATGGCGGTTTTGGAGCAGTGGCTTCTTCCTTGCTGAGCGGCCTTTCAGTTTATGTCGATATAGGACTCGTTTTACTGTGGATATAGATACTTTTGTACCTGTTTCCTCCAGCATCTTCACAAGGTCCTTTGCTGTTGTTCTGGAATTGATTTGCACTTTTCGCACCAAAGTACGTTCATCTCTAGGAGACAGAGTTGGAAGGTAGGCCTTGAAATACATCCACAGGTACACCTCCAATTGACTCAAATGATGTCAATTAGCCTATCAGAAGCTTCTAAAGCCATGACATAATTTTCTGGAATTTTCCAAGCTGAGTTTTTAGTTTTTACTTGTAGCCTGAAGCAGCGTTTCCTTTTCCTGTTGTTTATTAAAATACTTTTCATTCAAATCGTATTGTTCGGTTTCAATACTTCAAAACAAACAAATGGTAGGTCCAGGTAGTCACAAATATAGATGGGTGTTGGTTAAATTGTGATTTTTAATGAATGGAGCGGATTTGGAGCAGCAGTTTTTTTAACCTTTGAGCAAGGAGCGGTTTTTAGCGGAGCGGTTGGAAAGGAAGTGGAGTGCCGGAGCGCTCCATGAGCGATGAGCGAGATTTCCGACTGCTCAACTCCGCTCACATACTCTGGTATCAACGCAGCTGCAGGGAACAGCGCAACCTTTTTTTAAAACAGTGCAGAGGTAAAGATGGCTGTAATAGATGGCTTTGGCTAGGTAACTGCTGTTTGACTTGACATTAAACTAAACCAGTTTTAATCCCGGTGCGGTGCTATTAGCAAGAAGCTAATTCTTGTATGACGTGTTTGCAGAATGTTAAGTCCCCTATTGACTGATGTGAATGTTAAGT